GGTTTCCAGCAATAGAAAATACTTTCTGAATTGTTTTTTTTGACGTATTTCGAACAAATGACACATAAAGAATTCACTTCATGCATAATTGTTAGGAATTGTGGCTGATTTCCTTCCAAACCGATAGTTCTTGCAAAAGACTGTCTTTTAGAAAAATTTCGATTTTCAAATTTCTTTTTTGATTAGAGAGTCAAAAATGGATCTAAAAAATGTTTACCAAAGCTGATATCGGCCGAGCTTTTGATGTGCTATAATATCGTGCATTTTCTTTGTCCGAATCCGATCTATGTAGCTCAAAATAATTGAGAAATAGAAACGTTTCAACTTGTAAAAATGTTGCAAAAACTTTTTTAGAGGTATTTAGTTTTTGGCTTTTCTTCCTTCTGAGATTCGTTCTGAAAAAAAATATGTCTGGTACAAAATTTGTAATTCAGACATTGCTCTTTCTAACAAAAAAACATTTTGATTGGTTTCTACGCTGACCATATGATCTAATAGAGTCGAACATTTGTGCATAGACTTTTGCAACGTATGTTAGTTTTCTCCAATAGATCATTGTATGAATGAATTATTAGAACAACAAAAATACACAATAAAAACAGATAAGAAACTCAAACATGAAGTTGTTTTATGTCGCTCGATATATTTCACTTGCTTTTAGATATGGAAATATATGTTTTTTTTGCGTTTTTATCTTTAGACTCTTCGATCATCTCATGATTATCAATACACAAATATTGTATCTTCTCTTATCTAGAATAAGGATAATATATGGTTTTAATAACAAAACAAGCAACTTCAAAATGTGTTGAATTTGTCACATTAGAAGCTATAAAGTACATATTCATCTGGAGTTTCTTGAAATCAAAGGGTGATCTGTAATATGATTAAGATAATTCAAGATAAAAGAAAAAAGATTTCATAAAAAAGGAAATAAATATGATTTGAGATTATATGCATCGTATTGGTCGTATAGGTAAATCAATAACATTTTTAACAAAAGAAGATTCAACTGTATTTTAGGATTTCATAGAAGTTGTACTAAAATCACCTATATCACAATGTCCATCTGAATTATTTAATCATCCTGATATATATCATAAATTTGGTTCGATATTTTATTTATTTTTCTCATTAAAATGATGTGTTTTATGTTTGTTTTAGGAATAGTGGTTACTAAGCGTAATAAAACTGACATTCTTTGTATTTAGATAAAAAAGAACTTGATTTCTTGTATTTGTATCTCGATTTTTTTTATCTTATTATTGTGCATTATTAATAAAGAAATATCTGATAATAAATAAAATAATGACTTATAATGTATTTACTTATTTCATGGAAATGAAAAATTTTTTCTTTTTCTTTCTATTGGATGACATTTGTTGTTACGACAAACATGTTCTTGCTGCACAGTCACATGTTAAAACAAATCTCGTATGGATTTTCTTTTTTTTTTTTTGTGCTGAAAATTCTATTCAGATTGACATACTTATTCTGAAGTAAATAATGATAAACAGTTTTGTATATATTTGACTGAAATCTATAATGATTCTAATAGTCATGGTGATGATTAACGGAATATTATTGATACACAATGGTCAAAATAAGTTATTCGAATATTTTCAAAATTTGACATCAACATATTATTTTTTATCTACTCGATATGATTAAAGAAGATCGATAAACAGATAAACTAATAATAATGATGATATTACTAGTAAAAACCCAAAATATTTCTTCTTTACTTATTCTGTTTTTGTTTTGAATCATAGTTCATCATATCATTCCAAAATTAATTCTTAAACGAATGAAAAATTCTGATAAAGAATTTGTTGATGTATCGAAATATTTGATTGAGGTGTATCGACCATGTCATAATGAATTAGCTAAAGATTATCGAACAGTTGATATGATACTTGATGCTCCAGCTATCCAACTATATTTTAATTGGAAACGAAGATGAGAACGAATGGTATAATTAAATATAAATTTTCATTATTCATTTTTATATTTTTGTCGTTCGTATTTTGAATAGAGTTGTATATGATTAGTATAAGTTTCTTTTTTAGAGAATCGAAATTTATAACTATTTAACTTAAATTTCTTTTTTAAACTAAATCAATCTTTTGAACTTCAATAATGACCTACCGGAGGTCTGGTTGCTACTCACATAGGTGTAAGAAAATAAGGTTGTTTTAGTTTTCATAATAGTGAAAGTAAATGTTTTGTTTTTATATAAAGTGATAGCAAGAAAAATATAAACTTATGTATCGACTTCTTCCATATAACATCGAATGAAATCATCAGTCTCAACTAGCATTTTAATGAACATGATGTAATATTTTGGAACTCTTATGTAAAGATGTTCGATAGTTTCTGTTATTTTAGAATGTCGAACAGATCGAGAATCGATCTCCTTAGAACTTCGAGTGTCTAGAAGAGATGCAATGAAGGTGGCCATATTCATTTTTGTAGCAGAATATGAGAAAATAGTTAAGTCAATTCCTACGCTACACATTACAGTTGACACTCATATGTTTCTCCAGCAACGAGAAATATACAGTGGGTCCCAAAATTATTCAACCAGGTGTAAATTGGATTTTTTTTCGTAGCCTTAAACGCTAGAAAGAATCCAAATGGTGATTTGAATAGAGAATGTTGTTGCCAACAAGAATTTGAGAAAATGATAATCGTCATGAATTTTCCTAAAATGGGATTTCTAGAAAACCAAAACCATGGTTTTTCAACATCCAGAAGCCACAACAGAAGCATTGTTTTAACAGTCTAGAATTATAGAGCAGACAATTCTCTACAAAATGAGACATCTCCGAGCTTTCTACGACATTCCCTTCAAAAGTTCTAAGCGTCACAAAAAACGAAAAAAAGTGAAATTTATGAGAAAAGCGACCAAAAACCGCATTTTTTCGATTTTTGTGATGCTTAGAACTTTTGAAGGGAATGTCGTAGAAAGCTCGGAGATGTCTCATTTTGTAGAGAATTGTCTGCTCTATAATTCTAGACTGTTAAAACAATGCTTCTGTTGTGGCTTCTGGATGTTGAAAAACCATGGTTTTGGTTTTCTAGAAATCCTATTTTAGGAAAATTCATGACAATTATCATTTTCTCAAATTCTTGTTGGCAACAATATTCTCTATTCAAATAACCATTTGGATTCTTTCTAGCACGTAAGACTACGAAAAAAAATCCAAATTACACCTGGTTGAATAATTTTGGGACCCACTGTATATATATATTCTTTACTCATTTTTTTCCTTAATGCAGTCTGGTATAGCAGTAAGGGTGTGGGGTTTGCAATTGAGAATGAGAAGAACGTACACATATCCATACCCTCATCCTTTTCCTACATCACGTCACACACAAGGATTTATTTTTCGAATTTTATCTCGATTTTTCTCTTTTCCTAGAACAAAGGATCAGGTTCTTTTTAAATTAGTCTTTTCGCTGTGCACGTCAACATAATGCCTACCATTAAATAGTTTCTTTCGAGTGGAGGAGAGTGCCACTTTAAAAAGAACGGTATCGACAACACTGTTGACATGCTGTATAATCATATATTTTTCAAGTTTGAACAGCACTAGTTACTTATGGACTTCCTAAAAGACTATCCTGAAGACATGATTTTGTACTTTTTTGACTTGTAATCATCAAATTTCAGTCAGACAAATACAGTATATGCTAAAACTAACAGCATATTTGGAATCAGCAGCAAAAGCTTAGTCGACTTATGAATGTTTCAAGTTTTTCTGCAAAATTTTTTTTTTCATTGAAAAATTCACCTGTAGTCTCCTCAAGGTTTTAATACAAAAATATTTTAACTAATAATTTTTGATCGGTTCAGTCTCAGACGCTAGCTTTTCCATATTTGAGGTGAGAGTACTTGACTTGACAACTCCATATAGTTTTCGTTGACATCCGCGCGAAAGATCTGGAGACCTTCCCCCGTAAGAGGCGATAAGGAAAGGTAAAAATTTGTTTTTTTTGCTCTTTCCTGTTAACAAGCGACCTGAAAAAAAGAAAATAATGATAAAATCTATCGTCATATATTTACTCAACAGTAATCGTAGACGATAAAAGAAAGGAAATAATACTTCCTTTTTTTCATTCTATACCTACTATATATATACATTGCTGAGAAATTATTGTTATTATTCAGAAAAATGAAGATGATGCACATCCTTTATATTCTTTTCGTCTTAGTGGCCGGTATTGCTAGTGAGTGCAGCCGTAGTCAAACAAAAATCAATGAAGGTACGCGCCTATGTTGCTACTACGATACAAAAAATATTCCAACTATTGGTGTTGGTTTCAACTTGCGACGTTCAGATGCCGCCACGGTTTTGACCAAATACGGGTTGAAGCTACAAGATGTTCTCAAGGATTGTACATCTTCCACAAGAAAAGCATGCCTGACTGATGCTCAAGCCACTGATATCTTC